TGAGGCTGCTTCACTGATGAGCCAAACCTGTTTGGGTCAGTAGGACAATTTGGCACTGAGGAAGTTGAAAGGTTAGATTAGTCCAAATGGATCACAGGATTCTTACTTTTCAAATCCAGCCAATTAAAAATAATTGTATTATTATTTTCTATTGAATAATCCACACAGTGAAAAGATACATTTTATCTCACAGTGAAAATAACAACACAATGTACAAAACTAATCATTCATTTTTTTTTTTCTAAGAAGGCAGATTTTCTTATCCCGATTATGTTTTAAAATTGGATTCATGGGAGCAGAAAATGCACAATATAGGTCTGAGTTAATGTTGCTGTAGGAGTTTCATCCAAAGACTCCTATAATGTTAACTAACCTAGCATTGCCTTCCAAAGATATTAACACTCCCTAAACCTTTACAGTCTTATTCATTAAAACCAGATTTCACTATTTTATTGGGATTGTAAGGAAGGAAAACAATGCTTAAATGTTACAATAATTTAACAGTATAATTGAAAGGAGCATATTATTATAGTTTGTATTTTATTACGTTGCCCTATAGAATAGTAAGGACTGGTATTTGACTGGGCCACTCGGACACAGGAATATGATTTGAGAGTCCATCATAGATCTGGCTGTGTGTTTAGCGCTGATATCCTGCTGGAAGTTGAACATCTGTTTACATTTCAAGTCTTTTGCAACCATGGAGCCATGAAGAAGTTTTAACTCTGACCAGCATCTCTGTCCTCTCTAATGTAGTGTTCCACACATCATGAGGCTGCCACCACCATGTTTCACACTAGGGAGAATGAAGTAGTTTCTTATAACCACACACAGGACTTTGACCCCTTTATTTTGCCATTATTATACTATTTGGACCATATTGTTCTAAACCACTAAGAGAAAAGCTGAATCATACTTAGAATAAATGACAAACAGGAAAGCCTGATTTCTGGATTTTTATAAAACATTTCGACTAAAGGGGTCCAAATACAAACTTTTCCTTCTAAAATAAATTCACATAGCATGAATTCACTATACATGTTGGGTAAAAAGTTTTTAATCTAAGGAAACGTACCACTTGACTTTCAGATTTTTCTCCTGAATGGGCATCTAACAATTGCAAATTTTTTGAAAAGAAAAACTTTGTGCAGGTCTGTTAAATAAAACCACAGATAAACTATGTTAAAGGTTGTGGTTTTGTTGTGACTTATTTTAAAGGCTAAGAGGCTTGACTGCTTTTTAAAGCATTCCTCCATGAGTGTCTGTAGTCTCTTACTGCCAGTAGACCCTGCTGTAAGGACGCCCAGCTCTGGACTGCAGAGGCTATAAATAGTTGAGGCTGCCTTTCTCTAGGCAACACCCATAACACTGTATCTGCGACAGGACAGCAGGATACGTCACTGCTCCACTCTGAATCCTCTACCACCTTCACACACAGCTAAAATTCTCTACTCAGATCTCAGGAACAAAAAGTTATTTCCAACAAAGTGCTCCAAATATTACCTGGTAAAACATCTCTTCTCATCAGAACTGGTTAACACAAAAGTGCAAGATACGTAAAACTTATAACATCGTAAATTACATCCTGATTCCTCATATTTCCCTCCCAGAATGTTCCAATATCAGCTTTTTTAGTTGTTTTTTTTTTAAACCCTTCCAACATTTCCTTGATAGTTTTGCTGCATTTTCCCTTTTTTCTTATGAAAAGTGTCTCTTCTTTAGCCATTACTTTATAGGGGTATAGTAAGCTATACCCCTATATAGTAAGCTATAAGCAAAAATCCCTGTAGACCTTTGTCACATTTTTGGAGTTAGAAACAAAATTTAGTGTTAATTTGCAAAATACAGTTTCCTACTTTAAAAAAATAACCATATTCAATCTAAATCCCAAAAACTACATTTACCTAGCTACAGTAAAAAGTGAGTGCAAAAGCAGAACTCACCCTAAAATAAACCATTTTTGCATTTGTATAAATCAAAAGTGACTATTGCAGTTTAATTTCGCCATCAGTGAAATGGTACATGCTGGAACACACCTTCATCACTCCTATTATCATCAGTTGGTCGGTTTGGGTATCAATAGTCACATAGATGCACACATTTATAGTGAATCATCTGCCTCTAATGACAATGACCGCTTAGGTCTTGGGAGGATTTATTTATTTTTTTGTTTGTTTGGTTTATTTTGTTTCCTAGCTTACATCCATCATGGACGAAACCTTTCACCCTCTGCACCAGACTGTAGAGGAGCTGAGCAGCTCCTTTAGAGAAAGACTTACATCCTGTTTGTAAAAAGGAGAGCTACCGCAGGTCATTCATCCCTGCTGCCACCAGACTATACAATGCGGCACAATAAACACAATAACTTGTGCAATGACTAGTGTGCAATCACAATATATATATATATATATATATATATATATATATATATATATATATATATATACAGCAGAGGTCTCTTAATGTGGTGAGGACCCGCTGGTGAGACGCAGAGATACTGCAGGACAATTTAAAATTGACTGTATTTTATCATAAATAAATCAGGCGCAGAAAAACCTGCAATATCGCTTTAACTGGAAACAAATATGCTAAAGAGTTACCTTTGCGTTTGTACCAAAGCTCTGCTTTAAAAGCTAATAACTGGAGATTCTTGGTTTAATTTATTGCATATCTTCAGGTGGAAATTAGCTCCAAAGTCTTCCCAGTTGAAATTTTAGTTGTCATTAACCCAACCGCCATTTTAAATATGCTGTAATCTTCATTTAGTTAAAAAAAAAAAAAAAAAAAAGACGTTCATACTATATATTTTCAGGTGATTCCTTTAAGGATTATTTGCAAAAACAAAAACTGGGTTTTAATTATATGAATTAAATAAGCTACATGGTTTTGGATCAAATATACATGGGATGCAGAGCAGGACCGGGCGACCGCCGTGGTTGGTCTATGGGAAGAAACGCAGCGTACCAGATGAGATATGCACATGTTCAGAGGACTTAAATCTAAATATGTAGAAAAAAAGTATAAAAAACTATTTGGTAAAAAACCTAGCACAATATTGAGTAACTGATCATATCTTAACTAATTTTAAAGGAAATATTTAATCAAACAAACATAAAATTGGTGGATAATTCTGGTATTGTAAAGACCAAAATAAGAAATATACTATTTCATGCATAAGAAATCCTTTTCTGAATTTTTTTTCAATAATATATTTAAATCCTTTGATTTTTAACATCAGGTAGAATCACAAATTATTTAATATATCAAATAATACATTAATACAGTCCAGATTAAAGTTGCCTGGACTGTCCCCTGCTGCAGCTAAGATACTGACTGTGCATATTCTCTCCAGATCTCCCCACCTTAAGCTGAAGTAGCACAAACTCAGTTTTTATTTTTAAACATTTCAGTTTGAGGAATGAGGTTGTCAAAAACTAAAGTTTTTTGTGAATTATCACCCATATTATAACTGATGTATCAATCAAAAGGATAAAGTGGTTAAATGATGGAGCAGCATATTTTTTTATGGGTTATTGCATGAACCAAGTTCTTTACGTCTGATTTTAACTGTATTTCTTATTTAATGGAAACACTGCAAATGTGACATTGTGTTTGTTTTCTTTCAACATTATAAAAATATGGATACATTCTGTGGAGATTAGTAATGGAAACCCAACTATTCATTAATTAGCTTTTAGCTTCTACAACAAAAAAAGCACTTTTTTTTATTTAATGTGGGAGAGAAAACAATGAATGATATGCGAGCAGAAACCACATTCCCTCGTCGTTCTGTATTAATGAATCAAAGTATTTATTTCAAAAATTGGAAAAATAAAAACACACCCACCAACATTGGTTTAGTAGAATATCATACAAAGACATATTTCCATGTTGCTATGTGAATATCTGTCTCTGACTACAGTATGAGGCAGTTTGAAAAAGGCTGGCTGAGCTGCTGGAACTACAGACACAAACCTGGAAGATGAAGGAACCAAAGGAATCAAATAAAATAGATTCACGAAAAGCTTCTGAGCAAAGAAATAAAAGGGATAAAAGTTGTGTGCACTTTACCTTTCAAGACACTTGAGACGCCGCTGTAATGAGATTTCTTCCTCTTTATATGGACTAAGCTGTGTTTTAAATTAGAGTCAGCTAACAGCTGAGCTAAAGTTGTGATTAAATACAACTTAGAAACTAACAGTACAGTGAATGATGCTCGCTTTAACCTGTTTGGAGCAGCAGATGGGAACAGAAGTCTGTATAACAACCTCACCATTATCTCTATATGAAAAAAAAGAGCTAAATCTAACCCAGCAGCATTTGTTTTAAAAAAACCAAAACAAAAAACAGCATGAAAACCAGGTGAGGCTGAGCGTTAAGACACAGAATCGTCAGCAGTGTGAACACACAGAAGGTAAGAAGGTGTTTGCTTAAACAAGACGGTAAAACAGAGAAGCCTGCTCATCTTAGAGAGTCCAGCCAGTTTAGAGTCACTTCATCAGGAAATGATTGGGAGGCGTGAGGCTTTCAGGTCCATCGAATCTTTAGATGGAGGGAGGGAGGCAACAGAAAGAAAAAGAAAACAGTTCTTTGAAGCAGATTGCTTGCAGTTTTAGCACACAGCTAGGTGGTCTTAGCGAGTCTGAATCCACTGGAATCGGGTCCTGAATGGTCATGGGATGAACTTTTGTGCCTTTACTTCTGAGACGGTAATAAAACATTTAAAACAGAGGCTTGCTTCTTTAATTCCTCTGAGCGATCAGGAAAATTCCTGCAGACAGGCTTAGAACCGATGTGTTGAGATGATAATAAAATATCAAACTTCTCATCGCTCTGTTTTATAAATAAATCGTAAAAAGGAAAGAAAAAAAAGTACAAACGATTGTGTTGTTAGTGTTTTTTTGCGCCAACCACTTCAGACCAAGCAACCCTTCATAATGCTGACTGCTTTCATCTGGTAAAAGGACAAGAAAATTTAGTGGAGGGTGTTTTTTTTTTTTTTCTTTTTAGGTTAACAGTCACGGTCGTTACAATGGCGAGGACGTGAAAGGCAGAAAGTCCGAGGGCAGGCCTCCGGCGTGGAGGCCGTACGGACTTAAAAAGGTGATTAACTCACAGTGAGAACAGAATAGGAAGAGACTGGAACGGAGCCGCGCGGCTCCTCTATCTGAATCAGACACTGATGAACAGAGAGGAGACGCAGCAGCTGAGGAGGAGGAGCAGCCGCTGATCCACTCCCACCTTGTGCTCGTATTACATCCTCTGTGACTCCCCGCGGTCAATAAAACGGGGAGACGGAAAACTTGGGTCGCTGCGGCGGATTCTGTCTGGATGGAACGGCACATCCACAGACGGAGGGCAGGCGTGTGAGGAGCGGGGATTTCAAAAAAAGAAGCACCTTTTCTTCGGCTTGGATATAAACAAGCAGATAAATGTGAGCGGATGAGAGGAAAAGATGGAGAAGGATGTCTATAAATAAACGGAGGCGGAGGAAATCAGGTCTATGAGAGGAGGAAGACGAGGGTTTCATCCCGTGCCTGTACAGGAGGAAGAGGAGACACGTTATGTTAAGGAATCTACACTGGAATGTGGTTCCGCATGAGAGCTTTATAAGAGACATCCTCACCTTCCCCTTCCTCGCCCCAGCCCTCTGCTACACCAGCGAGCTCGTAATGCTTCTTCCTCAGCTCCCCAAGACGCTCCCGCTCCTTCTGCAGACGGGTCTCCAGCTCCAGAACCATAACCTGAATAAAAACAGTTTGGTTTATGTTTTTTAACAACATCAGCCCTATGAAAAACTTTTGTTTCTTGCAGATTTTCTCCTTTTTAGAATGTTAGGATAAATATAATTGAAGATGAAATAATTAGAGTAAATATAAAGGGCTTTTGTCAAAATATAAGAACTAGATAGAGTGCATCTAACTCCTTTTTCGCTTTAATATCTGCATCAAAACATCAATTAGTAAATATAAGACATGGAACTGCAATAATTGTGCTACTTTAGTGTTTGCGTCTTACATTTCAGAAGTTTACTTCAGCTTTGCTTAGTTTTTTTCTCAATGTTTACAATGCCTGAATACATTTAAATAAATGAATGAAATGAAAATTAAGCAACACTGAGGAACGCCAGGATTCCTGCTCAATCATGGCCTTTCTGCAGGTTACCTGAGCATCCATCTCCTGCCGCTTGATCTGGGTCAGAGTCATGCTGGAGAAGTCCATCGTTTCTGGTCAAACAGAAACAAATTAAAGCTAGACATTTTCCCACCACCGTGTGACATTCCTTTACAAAATGGCTCGAGAAGTGAAAATATGCGAGTTCACCGCGGCATCTTTACGAGGACGCCACACTCACCTGTTTCTTCGATCTGGGATTTCCCAGACTTGGTGGAGGCCACGACAGCGGCGGTTGCCTGGGTGACCCCGCGGGACGCCTGCTGCAGGCGCTGCAGGTTGGAGCTGTCTTTATCTGCTTTTACCTAAAAGAAAGGTACATAATAAAAAAAAACATCTAGCATATAAACACGGAAACAATCCTAATGGATCAGAGGAAAAAAATAACATGGGTGATAGGGGTTGATTATTTACCTTGGAAGCAGCCACTAGCTGTGCAGTGCTGGCTGCTATTTCATGTGAACACACCATCAGCTCTTCAAACTTTCCTTTTCCCTGAACCACCATGTCGGCAGCATCACTGGAAGCCAGAAAAATAAAAAGTGTGAAAAATGAGTTCTAGATTAACCCGATTACACTTTAAAACCACTTTGGTTAGAAAAAGAAAGTGTTTCATTGTACATTATATGGTGATCTGCACGTTTTGGTCACAAAACAGCCCACACTACCCACTCCCACTCCAGTCGGAACAGACAGAAGCCTTTTCATACTTACACCATGACTGTAGCGCCCCATCCAACCGCCTTGGAGGCAGAGATCAGGCCCTCAGTCCAGCGGGAATTCTTAGCATAAAATTCCTTCATGGAGGCTGCCCCCTGGTGGACACAGACACAAATGCAGCTTTAAAGTAAAACCACTTGGTTCAGGCAAAGGAGCTATATTGCTTAAATTAAATCAAAATAAGCCATTGAAGAGTTTAATATAATAACAGTCTAAAATATGAGATTTTAACATTTGTTTTATTCAATATTTGATCCAAAACTCAACTTTGTCAAACTAATATCAGGGTTTTCAACAAATTCATAAAACTGTACATTTCATAACAAAATATAGCTTTAGTTTATTGGCAATACCACACATGTCCATTTGATGACGTGCATTTCATAATTTAAGGTAGCAGCTCCCGAATCTGTTTCAGGGTCATGAGAGTTTTTGTGACAGTTGAATAAAAAAAAAAAAATGAAGTAAATTACATATTTCACAAAAACAAAGTAAGCTTAAAAAAGTATAGTTATTTTAAATTGGTTTGTTTTTCTAAGAATTTAAATTCAAATTAAAGTTCTTTACTTTATATATATAAGTCATTTCTTTAACAGAAACAGAAATTTTCTTAAACTACATTCAGACCCACATGTCCAGTTTACAATCCAAGCTGGGTGGTCATTTTTTGGATTTTACAATAAGCGGTTCTCTTAGGGACACTACTGCAAAGTTCGACCAAAACCTAAGTTCCGATCGAATCAATATCTTAAGGTCATTAATATACAAATCCATATAGAACGCATTTTGTCTGTTCAGAAATTCAGATCCCTTCTCAATAGAATAGGTGTTGAAACACAGAAACATTTCCATACTTTATTTTTTCCCCATTTTCAAAAAGATCCATGCTTGGAAAAGGATAAAACTATAAATAACCCACCCTTCCACTCTCCACGATATCCCTTTGCAGATCTTTAGAGGACAGAACCAGTGCCTTGATGGCCTGCATCAGCTCTGTGCAGGAAGCCAGGATCCTGCAGAGGGCGACAGAGAACACACCATGAACTTGCTGCAACTCTGCAGCTAATATTGGTTTCTCTGCATTAATAGCCAGTTAAAATTCCTGGGAGGGGGTGCAGAAGAGATGATGACTTGTTTTAAAGGAAGAAAAACAGCAAAAAGAAGCAATCCTTGTTGCTAAAGCACAACTAATGCATCACTTACCCCATGTCTCATTTCTAAATACTCCTTAAAACTGAACAGGATCTAGTACTGACTTTCCTAATTTTTTTTTGGTGCATATCTAAAGGCCTCCTGTTTAGCAATAGACAGACTTCTCTACAGGAAGCAAAACAAGTGGGCTCCACTGCATGTTTTATGGTGTAATAATCAGCTCACAGAGGTGCAAACACTCTGCAATGCTCTGAAAGCCACAGACCACAGAAGAAACTAATTGCCATCCTCTAATGCACAGTTGCACAAACACTATTCATTGTCCAGCCTCTATTAGTTTTCCCCCAGGGTTCCCATGTATTTAGCTTCATCCATCTTCTCCTAGACTCTGGCCCAGCTGAAGAAAAACATATTCGATGTGAACTTAAAGATCAGTTTCAGTCACGTCTGACTGGAACAATCTTCTAAAGATAACTGTGCCCCTACATGGACTGTGGCAAACCTCTTATACCCACTCCCTCTGTAACGGACACTGGTCCCAGATTTAAAGCGGAGCTGTGGATCTCTGCATCTCCTCCAGAGAAACAACTGTTCTGTTGTCTTCTTCTGTGGTTAATGTATTCCTTTCTGGTCCATGACTTAGTATATTTGCTAAAACATAACCTAGCTTTAAACTTAGATGCTTGAACGCTCCTGACACGCTGCTTCAGCTGCTCAAAACGCACCGCGGGACATTTTGCTGCGCCTTGATGCGGGCCAACTGTTGACTTTGCATATAAACTCGCTGCTCCTGCTGCATTCGGTGTGAACACAGCATAAGTGCCTGAAGCACTAAAGCGAATACAGCATAACCTTTGAAAACCATGTAACCATAGAACCATATTTTAAAAGCATTGTAACAAACTAGTATGTTCCTTTGGTTTTGGGGTAATTAATTAGAGCTTTGCTTTCTCGTGTTCATGCAGTTCCTAATGAAGAGAGAAATGACGGCATGCTTTAAGCTTTCCTTCATTTATTTCTTTATCTAGTTTAAAAGCTGCTGGTCTCCTTTAGCTCAATTAGATACATGTGTTCTCATATTCAACAGTTTGGCAGGGCTTTTTATTTAATTTCCTTTGTGGCCTTTTTTAACACCTAAACTAAACTGATTTTAGGTCACTGATCCATTTTCTGTCACAAGTTCTAATGCACCGATTTAAACAGTGATGCACTGTCAGGGTTTACTGAAGCAGTTTACTAAACAAGGATCATGCAGCCTGCTGCATGTCTAAACTACCCATGATTCAAACTGTGAAGTCATAATGAAAATGAGACTTAAGATGCTTCACTCCAAAGGCCCTGATGAGTAACTTCAATTCCCAAATAGGTTCTGTATATATTCAGTCTTTGGGCCTAAAGGTTACAGAATGGACTTTGCAAAGAAACGTCGACTCCCGGCTGGTTCATCAACTTTGCTCTGATCTGAGATTTACCTCTCGTTGACCTCCATCTTGATTCCTGTATCAACTGCTCGGGACTTGTTCAGCATTTCCTTTAAGGCACATGGGAGAGAAAAAACAAAGACATCTATGAGGACATACTGCTGCCGGTAGATTCTAGGGGAAGGATGCACTTGTAGTAAAGAGGCAGAAATAGTCACCTCTATCCTGGCAGCCGCGGACTCCACAGCGGCGGAAGTGGCAGCCATTTCTTGCTCCACCAGATCTCCCAGCTCCCCCTGCTGCAGCTCCAAACCCCTCGGGCGCAGTTTCTGAAACAACAAAGAGGGGCGGCCTTTCTTTTTGAGAACAGCGCCTTGCTGAGCAGATTAAACGCAACACCTGTCGATAAATCAGATTTCCGCCCACCTCCGCTGTGGTCAGGATGGCCTCCAGCGCCGTCCTCAGCTTGTTGCCGTCGGCAGCAGCAAGGCTGTCCTGCTGCTTCATCTGTCCCAGCAGAGCCAGAGCTTCCGATCCGCACGTCTTCACGCTCTCTGACAGCGCTGCAACAAGAACAGGATGCAGGGGTCAATGTTTCAAAGAATCCAATGGAAAACTCCCACTAGCTTAAGATGGCAGTCTGCTAGTTTCAGGGAGTTTAATTAGAAACAGAGGCTGGTTTATCTAGTCACCCTCATATATATATATCACAGCAATAGTTTCTGAGGATTGATATTATGAAGTTTTTTTTCTCTAAATTTAGAGTTCTAAGGCTTACAACCAATGAAAAACAAAGTAATGACTTAAGAAAATTGTATCGTAAGAGCCATAAAAAGTATTTTAAACAAAGACATGTTATGTAATGGCTCTCCTTATGTCTGACACACTAAAACCTGACAACTTTACAGATAATAGAAAATTCTTCCCCAATAAGAAAGAAATTCCACATTGCTTAAGAAGAAGATGTGTCAATGGTATTATTGGAAAATTGAGTTACTGGTAAAAATATGATAAATGATGATGCATAAGTAATGGGAACAGCAGCCTGAAGATGAATGTGAAGCATTCAGAACCAGCAGCCATCTCTGTCATGTTTATAAACACAATAAGGGCTGAAACTAACTTAGACTTTGACAACTTTTATTGTCATTTTGTGTACAGAGTGTACAAAATGACATTTTTGTTTAGTAGAGCTTTCCAGACAGTAAATTAACATTTACAATCCATAAAGTGCAGCAGTGATCAAATGTAAACAGTGTGGGAGAAAAAACATGGTGCGAAACACGATTATTAACTTACGATTATTTTGCAAATCAATTAACCCGTCGACTATTTTTTCCAGATGAATCGATTAATAATTGGATAGCTAAAGGTTCCTTAAACAAGATTTTTTAATGAAATTAAATCAGGACAAACTAAAACTTCTGGATAGAGCATAGTGACAGACGGAAATATATATATTTTTTATCTTAAATGCAAAATGTTTAGATATTTTTTTTTACAATTTTGATATAACTACTGCTCTAAGTGGGTCACTAAAAGCTAAAAGCATGTTTTTGAATCTCTAGTCTCCAGTTAACGATTAATAAATTACTAAATTAGTTGACGATTATTTCAATAATCCATTAACATGATTAATCTGATTGTTTCAGCCCTAAACACAATGATAAAAAGACAAAAGGAAAACTGCTCAACAACAGCTGCAAACTGATTAGAGATAAAAACGTCTACGTTCAGCTATGAACAGTTCAGCCTCATTTTCCTTAATATAAACAGTTAGCTTAGCTCATATGAAGTTCTAAATGTAGCGTTTAACATTTTGCAGCATATTTCTGCTTTCAGAACACATTAATGGCTGTTAAACTAAACTATTTAGTTTACTTACTTTACGATTCACTTCCATACAGAAAGCCCATATTCTTATCTTCAGGTAACATAGAATACATGTCAGATTAAATAATACTACGTACACTTCAGCGATAGTATCAAGGTGTTACTTTATTGTATGTCTCGTACCATGTCTGTTGGTTGTGCTGTTCTTTTTACATCTCTTTGCAGGTGATGAAGCAGACTGAAGATGTTTTATCATTATCTCCATTTTATCTCCTCTTTCTTTCATCTTTTTTTCTTTTTTCCGTTTTTCCTTTCCTGTTCTACCTACATAGCAGTGTCCATATAATTTGTAAAACTCCCTGCATAATTATAATAAAGCTATTTATATGCATAAATGAAGCGGAACACTATGGCGCCAGCCCTACTACTCCACTTGTGAAAGTAAAATCTGTTGGGCTCTTTTTGGCATAAAGACAATTATTCTTGTTGCCACATTGCTAGACAGGACACTGTACAAAAAAAAAAAAATTACCAAATACCAAAGGGAAAAGCTGTTAGTCTAAAGATGATTTGCTGTTATTAGCCACACCAGAAAGAAAACAGGACAGGAGGGATTTCCTGAACAGTAGCCAATCACAAGCAGTTTACCTTGTCAGGTGGGTTCCTCCCTCAAAACAACAGAAGGTGAATTGAGAGTAGAAAAAAAAAAAAAAAAAAGAGGTCCACGCGTAGGTAGGAGAGAATCTGCAGAGAGTTAGCATGGACTCATGCTTCTGATATACCAGGAGGTCATGGTGTTGAAACGAAATATAGAACGTCCAAAACAAGTGTAGAGAGGAGGTTTACATGGATTATTTTTTGAGTTTTTACAGCACTAGTGGCTCGTCTTTAGCTGACAGAAAAGGGGGCATGAGAGAGGGGGAGAGACACGCGGGAAAGGACCGCAGGCCGGGCCTGAAACCGGATCGCCCGTGGCGAGGACCAAGGCCTTACACATGGGACGTGTGCGTCAACCACTGCACCACCAAAGCACGCCCCTATAAAGATATCTTTAAATAAAACTGCTTGTATGAGTATTTATTACATGTGTGCACTTTAGATTGATTTCTGACTTCATAACATGGGCTATGACTGTGGCCTTCTAAAGCTGCTCCTGAACCAGAAACAATCATGGAAACCTCTAGAAACTGAGAAAAAAAGAGGAAAAGGCAGCTTACTTTTTAAAAGAAAGAAAATTTTGCATTTTATTTGGGATTAAGCTTCTATAAGCTGGAGTACAACTATCTGTGTTTGATCCCAGTCTGCTGGCTGCTAACTCCAGATCCCAGTATTTGTTTTTAGGGTGAAATCATGGCTGCTGGCCACAGAGTCATTATATTCAGGCATGTTTGGACTTGACGTCTAAAGAGAGGAAAAAGCCATTACTGGGTTACAGCATTAGTTGTTTTGCCTGAAGGCCTTTTCTCACTACCAGCCGAATCTGTGGAAAGGCATTTTGATTAACAAATGTAAAAAAAAAAGTTTAAAACATAATCATTCTAAATGCTTTCTCTGAGGTTTATTTCAATAATAGATTAAAAAATAATTTCTCATACATCAAAGCGCAATAAAAAAATCTATTTTAATGAAAGAAGATTTGTTTTGGAGCCTTTATTCTGCCCTTGAACCAAACAGACAAAAGTAATCAGTCATAGACCTACAGTTAGCAGAGCATCCTCCTTTGTTACCCATCTATAGCATATAGAGTATCCGTGTTACATTTACCTTCTGCATAAACAGCGTAACACGGATGAGCTCCTTACTACCTTTAAACGGCTTTTTTCTTTTTTTACTTTTTATAAATGTGCAGAGATCCAAGTCGACGTCGAAAATAAATCCAAAACTTGACTCTTCATAAATATAAAGGTTATTTATGCATAAGTATACAAGATATTTATTGAGTAGCTGGGCTGAAGAAAAAAATAGCATAAGGAATAAAGAAAAAAACATTTAAAAACAAAACAGAAATCAGTCTGTTTTCCTTTCCTCCCACATTCATCCAGACCTGGAAAAGAATTAAATTCTTATAACTATAAGTTAACTTTGCCACCATTTTGCCATTATTTGCCCTGCCCTTTTATTTCGTCATTCTTTCTACATTTCATTTCACAAACATCCGTTACTCCAAAAACACTCCTGACATGCAGAGTTCAATCTTAATGAATTCATGTAAAGTGTGAAGAAAGCAGCTCAGACATGCCGGGGCACGCTCGCATCCACCTCGCCCACAGATTAACATCAGGAGACGACGTCGGCGGCTTACATCTGCAGCGAAATCACACACACACTCACCCTCTGCTTGCTCCACAGGAACCATGTGGGAGGTGGCGCTGCCCTGAACGATGGTATCGCCCACCAGGTGGCCACACTGGGTCACCACTCGCACCAGCTCCAGCACGGCTGCATCACACCAAGCAGAGCAACAAAACATTTATATCTCCTAATATCACAAAAACAATACCTGATATTTACATTTTTACTGTTTTTTTTTTTGTTTTTTTTTTACACCGTTTCATTAAAAAAAATTTAAATAGGAAAAAAATCACAAAGACCTGTAAGTAATACTATTGCATAAAATAGTAAGTGAATGCAATTAAGATGAATTTTTGTAATGCCAACTCCTTTTTCCTGGCCTTAAAAATAAAATATTCCATTTAGAAAGTGAAATCGACACCAGTAAATGGCATGTAGCAGCTCTCACCTGTGTTGTCAGTCAAGAAGGCTTCTCTAGCTCTCTGCAAATTGTCCATAGACTCTAAAGATGCCCGACATCTAGATGCAAGATAGTCTACAACAGAAGGACAGGGATGATGAGAGCCCGGCTACTAACGCTACATGCAGACGTAACGAGCGGCTGAGCTACATGAGGAGCTTTGCACCAATCCTGACCTGCAGAGCTTGTGCAGCTGATGTGCGCTGGATCATCTATCTGCGCTAATGAGTCCTGGATGATCTTCTCTGCCTCCTCCACCGCTCCCTGCAGACTGGACCATCGAGCCGCTACCAGCTGACTCTCCAATGCCTGCTCCCTGCTCTCCTGCAGTTCAGGGAGGTAAACGTTTCAAACAAATATCAAAGTGAAGATTCCAGCTCATCAGAACGATTCCCAAACCTTCTCGTTGAGCTGATTCTGCAGGGCCTCTGCCGTCTTCACCCCGCTTTCCCTTTCAGTAGCCAGGGAGCTTTGGACACGCTGGAGCTCCTCCCCCTGTACTGCAAGCTCCGCCTCCACCTTCGACAAAGTTTGCACCAGCTCTGCCTTCTCAGACTCCAGGGCGACCAGCTGGGTGCTGAGCACTTCGCTTGACTGCATCCAAGAGCATGAGATCATGGAGGAGAAAAGCAACAGAGGGAAAGATAACATGCTGCTGTCAGGGATGCGGTCGGACTTTTCACTAAAAACACACTTTTATCTTTTGCCACTAGTGATAACTTTGAGTTGTTGAGACTCCACAGAGGTTAGGGAAGGATGTCAAAGGAAACCTGGAGTTGTGAAACCAGTGATCATCAAGCATTTCAACGTCTCTGTAGCTACATATACATACTCTTTTACAATGAAGCCTTTGAGCTTAAAATGACTGTAAACAAAGAAATAGTAAAAAGAGAAAGACTTACACTCTGAGAGTCAGTAGGTCCGACAGAAAAAAGGGAACAAGAAACAGCAAAGTTAAATATAGAGCTTTCATCAGAAGAAGAATGAGAAGGGAGAGTAGGACGGGGGCTGGGTTAGACAGACTGTGGGGGTCAGATGGAGACAGAGAGTGACTGAACCCTGATAAAACACCTACAGGGATCACCAAGTGTTTCTTACACTAGTTTAGCAAAAACAACATCCTCTAATCAATGTTTTCTAGTGCTGCTTCTTTTTAACTAGCTAGCTGAAACTAACATCCACTTCCTTTAAACCAATTCTACAGCTACAGAAACATTCATGTTCAAAATATAAAATATTAGTCTCAAAAGCAGAGATTATTTCTTAAAAAGTTGTTACAAATAAGAAATGATGAGTAACTTATGATGGTGATATGGATTTCTAAGAAGGGTTTAAAGCGTCATGCTGCCACTGCCTGGTCAGCTGGCTGAAAAAAAAATGTATATAAAAATGACACTTTTCCTCCACTTATGAGGAAAACTTTGTGTTTAGAAATGTTTCGAATCAAACGAGGTAATCCTTTCCAAAAACTACAGTCAGAACCTATTTGATTTGGGAATCAAAATATTAGAATATAATATATAATAATATTAGTGTATGTTTCATTTAGTACTGTATTTTCCGGGCTATTAACCACTACTTTTTCCTCATGCTTTGAACCATGCGACGTATAAGACGGTGAAGCTTTTTTTGCACTGGAAAAAAATCTAAATCCAGATAAGTAATTTTTTTCTTAAAATAAGTGCATTTGTTTTTGGATTGAGGAGATAAAATATACATTTTGCCAATGGAACAAGACAATTTACACTTAAAATAAGAAAACATAATTGCATTGTCTTAGTCCAAGTGCATATGATCTAATTATCTTATTTTAAGAGTAAAAACACTCAATCCATTGGCAAACTATCTCATTTACCAACTCAAATTAAGGTTAAATACACTTAATTTAAGAAATTTTTCCAGCATGTTTATTCTTCCTAACCGCCAAATGGGGAAGTTAGAAATAAATTAATGGGCTAATTTTGATTTAGCACAAGAACAGGCTAGCAGCAGGCCCCATTGCCGCAATAAAGCTGCCGAACCAATGAGGAGATGGGCTGAACTCCCGCAGAGCTGAAATAAAGAGCTAAAGAAGCCTCATCTTTCAGTAGAAGCTCCTTCTGCTTGTTACTACCCGATCCGACCCGGAAGCACGATCCGTTCTGCGCGGACACGAACAGATATACATCCGGGTGTCCATAAATAATGTAATTATGGTACTAAAACTACTTATTTACTTTACTTAATTTACTTAACTCACCAAAGAATGCAAATATACATCTTAAAAAAAAAAAAATTATGACTTCTGTGAGAGAATTTTTATGCTTTTTACATTTTCTCCATTTAACTGCTTCTCTGACGTCATCATGGGACACACTCAGGGCAGTCCGGCAAAATATGATTAAACTATGTTTATCTGCATTTTAGTTGTTTCCTTCATTAGATTACACACTATGTAGCATAAGATTAAAACGAAATGAAAGAAAAAAGTTCAAAAAGACCAGATTTATGTTTAAATCCAAAGGTGAAAAAGTTAGCCCTCGGAAGAAGCGTAGGAGCAGATCGGGCAGAGACCAGTGATAAAACAGAAAGGATTTTAATGCATTTAATTTATCAGAAAATACATTGTTAACCTTTAACACATTATATTTTAGTACCTTCACTACCTTTGGGGAGGAGAAATGTCATTTAGGGATTTTTTAACAAAATAAAATCGAAAACGACCCGGATGTATATCTGGATGCGTATGTGCAAAGAGGTGATGGCGCATGCGCAGAACGGATCGTGCTTTTTTCAAAACATTTAGTGGGAGTGGCTTATAGTGAGGTGCGCTCTATAGTCCAGAAAATACGGTAAGTAGGATTTTTAGTCTCATCTTTCATTTTTACTATCATCATCCAGGCTTAAATAGTAAAAACACATTTTTCTAAGGGGTATGTATGAAAACAGCTATAAATTAGCTATGATTTTTTTTTTAAATAAGTCACAATAAGTGCTGCCTTTCTTTAAAAAATAGACCCTGTTATATGTTTTAGTTACAATGACTTGAAGTTGTTCTGTTTAACTTCATTATAATTCACATATGAGCCTTTGAAAACAGAGGATTTGTGCAAACAAACATCAGTCTGAAAGAGTTGATGTAAAATGTTGAAGCAAATTCTTTCAATGAAGTTTAGAAGACTCAGGTTGGTTAATTTTAATCTCTAATCCGTCGGGGAACCGACCTGCTGAGAAGAGGCCATGGTGGTCTTCAGGGAGTCCAGTTCAGCCTGGGTGGAAACCAGCTCCCTCTGCAGCTCTTGGAGCTGCTTGACCTGCTCCCTCTCCTAAACCAGAGAAGTTGGTGCTTAAGAATAGAAAATTTTTTTTATTTGGATGACTTTGCAGCATGAGAGTTGCTCCCATCCCTACCTGTCTGTCCGCAGCCTCCTGTGCTCCCTTCACCTTCTCCTGCATCTCCCTCCGGACCTCTTCCACCTCATCCTGAGCCGCCCGCGCCACAGTCATCTGCCGGGTCACCTCTGCGTTCTGCATAAACAGCATAGGACCAATATGAAGCTTTAAAAACTGTAACAATGACCCAAGGGGGGGGGGATCTAAAGAGGTTCGCCACGTCCTCCTCACCTTCCTCAGCAGGTCGGCGTGACTCTGAACCAGTTCTGTGTATTTCTCCTTCAGCTTGGTGTAGCGCTGCTCGTTGGCCTGAGCTTTTTCTGGAAAAGGCAAAAAAGACCAAGAAGGATTTGAGACTGTAGCTGATGCATCATTTATCATTTTATGTCTCTGTTGTAAAAGGTAAATTATATAAACTCTTTGTTTTTGTTCATTTTTAGTGCTGCAGCAGATGTTTTGGAAAATAAGCTGCTTAGACATGAAGATCAATCCAAAAAAATGACATTTAATCAGCATTTCTTTCTCCTGAGCTGCTTTGACTGCATTAACAGCTGCAGGCTTTTTGGTGTGGCTCTGCATTTTCACATTTAGACACTGAAACCTTTGTACTTGTCTGCAAGTTATCTCAAGCTCAAAATAGATGTAACATTTGACAAACAGTTATCAAACTTAGCTACAGTTTTTCTTGTTTTTTAACTGTAGTTGCATCTGGACTTTGACTAGGCTGTTTTAATAAATTATCATAGATTGAAGGAAAACTTTTTCTTTAAACAACTTCACTTCTCCTCAACCCCATTTTTATTAGTATATTCTTATTTGTTGGCCTTTTTATGTTCATCTGTTTGTTGATACTAGCTACATTTCTTTGTACTGTTGAACCATAAGCAAAAGAATAAAAAAACATAAACATTACTTTAGAACTCAGGCCATTTTCTGACCAGCTTCCTTGTCCTTTCTCAACTAAAGCCTCCCCATATCATGATGCTACCATCTTCTTAGTTGGAGCATAAACAGGGTAGAATCCAGATGCATGGTCCGCCTTTCAATCTTTTAAATTATAACATTTAAAAACCTTGCCTGGCTTCCATTTTAGAGCTGCAGACCTCATTGTTTGAATGAATATTTAAACTAGGTAGGCAAACAAATAAAAAAGAAATAAAAAAGTTATCATAGCTGAGAGAATTATAAGCAAAAAATGACCCAGTGGTTAAATATGATTTAGCCAATCATCTAGTGAGAACTGGAAAAGTCAAAAAGAAATCTTTTAAGGACAAAAATAAAAAGATCTACAGAGAGAGCATATTGTAAGCCATTGGCTCTTCAGTCCAAAATAAAACCAGCAGCATCAGAAATTATCTAAGGTGCCGCTGTGTATAAATAAAATGCTGCCTCACTCTCGATCTCCGTCAGGCTCCGCTGCTCTTTCTCCGTGTCCTCCCTGGCCCTCCGCAGGTCATCCAGCTCCGCCTTCAGGAACTCGCTCTCCCCTACGGCCTGCAGCCTCAGGTGGCTCTGCTCGGCGAGCTCCGCTTCAAGCTCGTTGACGCGCCCCCTCAGAGCCTGACACAGCCGGCCGCTCTGCAGACAGAGCAGACAGCCCTCAGGGTAGAAAAACAACAGAGACCAGCAGAAATAAGAGAATTTCTTATTCCTCTCATCTTTACCTCCAGCCTAAAAGACTCCAGCTCCTCCTTGAGGGCCTGGATCTCCCTGGTCAGCTGCTCGATCAGACGGTCTCTGAAGAACAAATACAGATTAAAGAATTAAAAGCCATTTTCAAGGTTGTTGCAAACTATTAAACCTCTGTTCATGCCTTACACAACTTAAATATTTAGCTGTGCTGCTGCCATCAACNTGCATATGATCTAATTATCTTATTTTAAGAGTAAAAACACTCAATCCATTGGCAAACTATCTCATTTACCAACTCAAATTAAGGATAAATACACTGAATTTAAGAAATTTTTCCAGTGTTTATTCTTCCTAACCGCCAGATGGGGAAGTTAGAAATAAATTAAGGGGCTAATTTTGATTTAGCACAAGAACAGGCAAGCAGCAGGCACTATTGCCGCAATAAAGCTGCCGAACCAATGAGGAGATTGGGCTGAACTCCCCCAGAGCTGAAATAATGAGCTAAAGAAGCCTCATCTTTCAGTAGATGCTCCTTCTGCTTGTTACTACCCGATTCGACCCGGAAGCACGATCCGTTCTGCGCGGGCACGAACAGATATACATCCGGGTGTCCATAAATAATGCAATTATGGTACTAAAACTACTTATTTACTTTACTTAACTCACCTAAGAATGCAAATATACATCTTAAAAAAATTTTTTATGACTTCTGTGAGAGAATTTTTATGCTTTTTACATTTTCTCCATTTAACTGCTTCTCTGACGTCATCATGGGACACACTCAGGGCAGTCCGGCAAAATATGATTAAACTATTTTTATCTGCATTTTAGTTGTTTCCTTCATTAGATTACACACTATGTAGCATAAGATTAAAACGAAATGAAAGAAAAAAGTTCAAAAAGACCAGATTTATGTTTAAATCCAAAGGTGAAAAAGTTAGCCCTCGGAAGAAGCGTAGGAGCAGATCGGGCAGAGACCAGTGATAAAACAGAAAGGATTTTAATGCATTTAATTTATCAGAAAATACATTGTTAACCTTTAACACATTATATTTTAGTACCTTCACTACCTTTGGGGAGGAGAAATGTCATTTAGGGATTTTTTAACAAAATAAAATCGAAAACGACCCGGATGTATATCTGGATGCGTATGTGCAAAGAGGTGATGGCGCATGCGCAGAACGGATCGTGCTTTTTTCAAAACATTTAGTGGGAGTGGCTTATAGTGAGGTGCGCTCTATAGTCCAGAAAATACGGTAAGTAGGATTTTTAGTCTCATCTTTCATTTTTACTATCATCATCCAGGCTTAAATAGTAAAAACACATTTTTCTAAGGGGTATGTATGAAAACAGCTATAAATTAGCTATGATTTTTTTTTTAAATAAGTCACAATAAGTGCTGCCTTTCTTTAAAAAATAGACCCTGTTATATGTTTTAGTTACAATGACTTGAAGTTGTTCTGTTTAACTTCATTATAATTTACATATATGACTTTGAAAACAGAAGATTTGTACAAACAAATATCAGTCTGGAAGAGTTGATGTAAAATGTTGAAGCAAATTCTTTCAATGAAGTTTAGAAGACTCAGGTTGGTTAATTTTAATCTCTAATCCGTCGGGGAACCGACCTGCTGAGAAGAGGCCATGGTGGTCTTCAGGGAGTCCAGTTCAGCCTGGGTGGAAACCAGCTCCCTCTGCAGCTCTTGGAGCTGCTTGACCTGCTCCCTCTCCTAAACCAGAGAAGTTGGTGCTTAAGAATAGAAAACTTTTTTTATTTGGATGACTTTGCAGCATGAGAGTTGCTCCCATCCCTACCTGTCTGTCCGCAGCCTCCTGTGCTCCCTTCACCTTCTCCTGCATCTCCCTCCGGACCTCTTCCACCTCATCCTGAGCCGCCCGCGCCACAGTCATCTGCCGGGTCACCTCTGCGTTCTGCATAAACAGCATAGGACCAATATGAAGCTTTAAAAACTGTAACAAGGACCCAAGGGGGGGGGGGGGGGGATCAAAAGAGGTTTCCTACGTCCTCACCTTCCTCAGCAGGTCGGCGTGACTCTGAACCAGTTCTGTGTATTTCTCCTTCAGCTTGGTGTAGCGCTGCTCGTTGGCCTGAGCTTTTTCTGGAAAAGGCAAAAAAGACCAAGAAGGATTTGAGACTGTAGCTGATGCATCATTTATCATTTTATGTCTCTGTTGTAAAAGGTAAATTATATAAACTCTTTGTTTTTGTTCATTTTTAGTGCTGCAGCAGATGTTTTGGAAAATAAGCTGCTTAGACATGAAGATCAATCCAAAAAAATGACATTTAATCAGCATTTCTTTCTCCTGAGCTGCTTTGACTGCATTAACAGCTGCAGGCTTTTTGGTGTGGCTCTGCATTTTCACATTTAGACACTGAAACCTTTGTACTTGTCTGCAAGTTATCTCAAGCTCAAAATAGATGTAACATTTGACAAACAGTTATCAAACTTAGCTACAGTTTTTCTTGTTTTTTAACTGTAGTTGCATCTGGACTTTGACTAGGCTGTTTTAATAAATTATCATAGATTGAAGGAAAACTTTTTCTTTAAACAACTTCACTTCTCCTCAACCCCATTTTTATTAGTATATTCTTATTTGTTGGCCTTTTTATGTTCATCTGTTTGTTGATACTAGCTACATTTCTTTGTACTGTTGAACCATAAGCAAAAGAATAAAAAAACATAAACATTACTTTAGAACTCAGGCCATTTTCTGACCAGCTTCCTTGTCCTTTCTCAACTAAAGCCTCCCCATATCATGATGCTACCATCTTCTTAGTTGGAGCATAAACAGGGTAGAATCCAGATGCATGGTCCGCCTTTCAATCTTTTAAATTATAACATTTAAAAACCTTGCCTGGCTTCCATTTTAGAGCTGCAGACCTCATTGTTTGAATGAATATTTAAACTAGGTAGGCAAACAAATAAAAAAGAAATAAAAAAGTTATCATAGCTGAGAGAATTATAAGCAAAAAATGACCCAGTGGTTAAATATGATTTAGCCAATCATCTAGTGAGAACTGGAAAAGTCAAAAAGAAATCTTTTAAGGACAAAAATAAAAAGATCTACAGAGAGAGCATATGGTAAGCCATTGGCTCTTCAGTCCAAAATAAAACCAGCAGCATCAGAAATTATCTAAGGTGCCGCTGTGTATAAATAAAATGCTGCCTCACTCTCGATCTCCGTCAGGCTCCGCTGCTCTTTCTCCGTGTCCTCCCTGGCCCTCCGCAGGTCATCCAGCTCCGCCTTCAGGAACTCGCTCTCCCCTACGGCCTGCAGCCTCAGGTGGCTCTGCTCGGCGAGCTCCGCTTCAAGCTCGTTGACGCGCCCCCTCAGAGCCTGACACAGCCGGCCGCTCTGCAGACAGAGCAGACAGCCCTCAGGGTAGAAAAACAACAGAGACCAGCAGAAATAAGAGAATTTCTTATTCCTCTCATCTTTACCTCCAGCCTAAAAGACTCCAGCTCCTCCTTGAGGGCCTGGATCTCCCTGGTCAGCTGCTCGATCAGACGGTCTCTGAAGAACAAATACAGATTAAAGAATTAAAAGCCATTTTCAAGGTTGTTGCAAACTATTAAACCTCTGGTCATGCCTTACACAACTCAAATATTTAGCTGTGCTGCTGCCATCAACACCTTTGTTTATACATGTTCGAGATCGGCCTGTTTTCCAGTGTTAGTCCTGTTTCTCTGACTGTGACAACCCGGAAGTGCTCTCTTCATCCTCTGACATGGGAGTTGGCTTGAAGCTCGACTGCCTGGCAGTGTGTTTCCTGGACCGGGCCGCCTTTTACAGTTGCTTTTGTTTTTTTATCTCTGCTTCTGTCTCCTTGAACCCCAGTCTGCCTCGGCAGATGGCCACTCACACTGAGCCTGGTTCTGCTAGAGGTTTCTNTTTATAATTTAATCTAAGGATGAATCTTCAGGGTCGTCAGAGAGAATCAGTAAATGACCAGCTTCACAATGACCCGCGAACCCAGCAGACAGGTCAGGAAAGAAGTTGTGGGGCAGTTTAAACTCAGAATTCAGTTAGAACACAATTAAACTGAAAAGGCAATTAAGAGAAATATTCTAGTGTGAGAATTAGCCGTGCATTTCATTGAACTAAACTGAAGGTCTATACCTGAAGGTCTATACCCAAAGGTCATTCAGCCGACCTTTGGGTTTAGGAAAAAATTATTGAAAGGACGATGCAGGAAGGCTCTGGAAAGGAAAAGAGAACCTTCACCTCAGGATGGATCCACCCAGATGGGAGGGTTGGAGGTTTTGGCCGCGATGAAGTTGGTTTTCTTGTTGTTGGATTTGTTTGTGAAACCGGCAAGATTTTAGCAAAGAGAAAAGCACCGGAAAAGTTACACTCTGGCTACGAAGAAGAAACCACTAACCAGTGTTTTGAGGAAAAGAAAAAAAAACTATATATATTTTAGGCAAAAGACAAAAAAAGAACTATTAAACAGCGTCTGATGGACAAGGGATCGCAAGGGCTCACCCTTCCTCAGCAGATGTCAGCTGGTTGAGGAACTCTGGAAATTTTAGATAAGCCCCCATCACAGAGTGCTCTGTCAGGTACCAGTTTTATTTTTTGTTGTTTTTTTTTTTCTGTACACCGTTTCCTCTAGTCCCACTTCATACCGTTTATTGTCGGGGCCTCTATCCTCTCGCAACAAGAAGAAAGAAAAACGAGCCACAGTGAGAGGTAATGGTTCGTAACAATTGGGAAAAAATAACGAGTCGAGTTTGTGGTGGATTTCTAACAACACACCCTCCTGAAAACAGCCCCAAAAGAGGGAAACACGGTGCTGGGCTGGCAGCATCATGCTTTGGGGTTATTTCAGCAGGGAACAGGAAGCTGCATGGAACTAAAGGCTGGGCAGTCCTGATCAGAAACCTGCCAGAGGCTAAAGAACAGAGACCTTTGGTCAAACCAGTAATTAGACCGATCCAAAAGTCAGAAGCTGACTGGGAAGTTGATGTTTCCAAATCCTTTCCATGTGATCAGACTGAGCTCACGCTATCATGGTTAACATTTCAGAATCCGGATGAGCAAAGCTACGAGACATTTGAAAATTTTCTGTATCCTGAAAGCACACTAATCGCTTTATTATTTCATATTTCAGAAACATTTTCTTTGGTTAACATCAGCATGTCTGGACAGAGGCGATTTTTCTTTGAAGGACAATAAAGATTTGTTCTAATATTGTTTTTCATTGTGTTTGTCTGTCACATCAAACCTTAATAGTTTGTGTATGGAGTAGAAATGTGAACATGTTCAAGGCTTATAAATGCTTTCAGGTGATTAAAATGTCATTTCTAACTTATGATGATAACAAAACAGGATTTAACGATATGAGCGTAGCTCAGTAGGCTGTGGGTTCTGGAACAACAGCCTTGTTGTACTTCCAGATGAAACATACTTGTCATCTTTCCGCATGCCGTTCTGGCTGTTGAAGTTAAACGGATCGATTGCGGCCGAAGTGCCGAACAAGTCGTCAAACTTGACCTCCGAGGGAGCCTAGCGAGAAACAAGGAAACAGGATTACAAAGAAGAAGAAATTCTGGGGGAAATGAATTCCTTTATGGTTCTGAATGAACATAACACGGCATCTGGAGGAAATATCTGTGTTTAGAGCTTCTTCATTCCCACGTTTCCAATAGCGTATATGATTCCAGGAAAGTTTCTTATTTTTACCGGCAGAGAGGGGACGTCCGTGTCCACCAGGTCGTCCGTTTCCACCACATGTTCCGACTCTGGAGAAGAAGACTCAGCGGGAATCACGACCACGGGGCTGATGTGCTCCGACAGCGCGGACGCACGCAGGAAGTTTGGGGGGTTCTGCATGAAACACAAACCTGATCATGTATCAATATCCTAATATGCATTTAGACTGAGGAAGTCCAACTGATCCCTCAGCTTCCTGTCCATCCTGACAGGAGTGATGACGACATTTTCCCACATGATGCCATGCCTCAGTCAGTTGAGCAACAGTGGATAAAGGAGCAGCTGTTGCAGCATAAAGAAGGATTTTGACAGAAGACGCGGTCAGAGTCGTCCTCACCTCAGGCAGCTGTGGGATCTGAATCAGCCTCTTGAAATACTGCAGGTTACTTGAGCGGTAGAAGAGACTCTTAAGCCTGAAACACAAGAAGAAGAGTTAAAATGGCCTGATGCTGTGAGAGACTATTTCTATGCGACTGTGAGGGAACGCCGTACTTCTTAAACTGCTCCTGGAAGCGATCTCTGTGGCCCTGGAGAGTGTCGGCTGGAAGGCCTGTAAACACACACGCAAACACTTCTCTGCTCAGTCTATAAAAATATGCAGCTAGAACATAAAATCGTCCGATCGCATAAACATGTCTGACAGCAATTCAAAGAAAATAACCTGAAAGCTGGAAAGTTAAAACCTTCACAATCGGAGCATCAAAGAAGCTGCTTGATTCCAGTATTGGCAGACATGATGGCTGAACAGCAGCACTTTGAACACGGCCAGAATATCAGAACCTGGGTTATTAATTCAGCTTGTATTCAAGCACATCTAGGAGAACATCTATGAGAAGATCTGGAGGCCTTTCAGAGGCCCGTGTAGCTGTACTTTCAGTTTAACAATTCAATCGATGCTAATTGCAATTTAACAATATTCTTTAAAAAAATAAAAAAAGGAAACAAAAGTAAAAAGGAGAAAAAAATCTGTAAAAAAAAACATATTTATATATATATAAAAACAAAACTTAAATCCTCATTTGTTTTGTTTTTCTAATAGAACATCACTTGTAAAAAAAATTTTGTAATCAGGGTTTTTTGCAGGTGTCACAAATTCAAATTTAAGACTTTTTAAAATCTTTTTAAGACCATCATCAATGAAAGTCATTAGATTAGTCAGAAAATAGATTAACTTACCCAGACAGACAATTACAGTTTATGCTAAAGTGATGCCTCTCGCGTATACACCAGCTTTGTTAGGTCATGCTCTATTGAACCTGCTGAACCAGCTGGTGATCAAGTTATTATATAAAAAACAAAACAAAGGTTAAGATCATCCCTTAAAGGATGGAACACCGTTTTAACATTTTTAAATCACCTATTGTAGGAACTGCTTCTTACGTTTCATGCAGAAAAAAAAATGGATAAGGAAAGGCCCAATCGGGAGCTCACTGCCCCCCTAAGCAATGTGGAGGTAGAATGATAGTGTTTGAATGAAAACCGGTTGAAAAATTTGCATTTAACTCCAACTTCCTCAAATTCACTTCAATGCACAAATGAAAGGTTTGAAACTCAAAAAACAGAAACATTCATCAAACATGTATAAGATAAATCTTCATTTGAATGACTGCCCTGTAATCCATCAGCTGATGAAAGCTAGCTCTGCCTCTATAATTCCAGATCGATAAGGTGATAAGGAGCAAATATCCCAGTTATCTTAGCTCAAAGTTGAGACTAGAAAGATTCCCCTGTCAGAAATAGAAAATATTTAGAAAGCCATTGATCCAACAGGCCTGGGACTCACAGGAGTGCAGCTTGAAGAGCAGCTTGACGGTGTAGTCGTACAGGTGGCTGCAGTCTAGGATGACTTGGATGAGGGGAGCCAGACGACACTGACCTGCCGCCGTCACAGACACAGACCGAGACATGTCCAAAGAGTTGAACACTGTGGAGGACAGACAGCAGTGATCAATGAGCCGAAAACAAATGTTGAAGACAAACATATCGCACAGGCAGCGCCTTCACCACAGTGCAGTGGCTCAGTGTTGTTTTTAAACAGGAAAGGAGAGCAGAGAGGGAGAGACGACCTGAACAGAGTCAGGATTGTTTGAGTTTGCCTCTGCCTCCATCATTACAGCCTCCTTTTCATCCCTGAAGTCAGACCTTCAGAGCGACACAGGTGTGGTTTCCTGCCTGATGCATGACACACCCACACCCACACCCTTTCCACATGACGTTATGCTTTAATATAAACAATGCAGGGAAACAGACTAATGTGAACCATATAGCTAAGGTCTGAAATTGATTTATAATGAAGGTTATGTCACTATTATTGGAGGAATATTCCTGCAGTTTTCATGTCAAAACTCTGAATTCCAGGGATAAAAACCGGAAGACTGGATGGATGGATAATAAATAGATGAATGATGGATGAAAGGACCCTGCCAGTGATTACTGGTCTAGTGAATAAAGTCACTAATTTTTCCATTGTGCATTCTCTCTCCTCCAAACTCACCCAAAGCTGCAAAACTGAGTTTAAGAAATTAACGACTATTCCAAAATGGAAAATAATCCGGTCGCTTGCATTTAAATATTTAACGGTTTTTCTGATCAAAGAAGCCGAACCTCTAAAAAAAGCCAGATCCAAGCCAGACGACTGACCAAAAAGAATAGAGACGGCTTCATAATATCATGAAGGCACGTAATAAGCTGCATGATAAATAAAAAGCAGAATGTAATTTCCGCCTCAGCTTTTATGACTGGAAGCTAAATTTCTCCTGAGCTCCCAGTCCGATCATTACAGTCTATATTTAACCTGCTTCAGCAGACTTTAACCTCAGGTGACTCAGCTAGACAAAAACCGGCTGTAGCCCAGCTGAGAGGTGTTTTCACCGCTCCATATATGTCTGTTTTCATTCTCCATTGTGTACAGTGCAGCGAGCAGCCAGACTCTCTACTTCCTGTCTGTCAGAGTTCAATTATCTGTCTGTGTGTGTGTGTGCACCCAACATAGACACATCTAGGTCTATAGAGAGCCAAAGCACTCACCGCCGAGGAAGAGGTTGAGCTCACACTCCAGGTAGTCGAACATCTCCACCGTGAGCTGGAAGCTGAGGGTGAGAAAGGTCACAATTGATCCCTCGTTTATTGCCTGAACACACAGATCTGTTAGCAGCAGAGAAACATGACAGTGAAAGAGAAAAAAACAGCTGGACAAAAGGTCTGAGCTCGTTGTCTTTTGCTAGTCACATTTATCTTCTTCCAAACTGAATTTTCCGATTGAATTATTTAGGGAGATTTTAATAAGCAATGAATTAAGAGATTTATAATTCTTTCCAACAGGTGATTTCTAATACTTGCTGCTGTAATATCACAATTTCCCATTGTGGAACAATAAAGGGATTTTATTGATTGATTGATTGATTGATTGACTCACAGTGGAGGAATTTACTTATTACATCAGCTCAAATAGTTAAAGGGGAACGCCGTATTTTTTAGATTGGGCCCGAATACATACAGTGGGGGAAATAAGTATTTGACCCCTTGCTGATTTTGCAAGTTTGCCCACTTACAAAGAATGCAACAATCTACAATTTTAATCATATGTACATTCTAACAGTGAGAGACAGAATCCCAAAGAAAATTCCAGAAATTCACATCATATGAATTTATAAAAATTGATAACCATCTGATGAGGAAAAACAAGTATTTGACCCCCTACCAAACGGCAAGTATTCTGGCTCCTACAAGCCAGTTAGTTTTTCTTTAATACACAGCCCCAATCCCAACCAATTATCTACATCAAATACACCTGCCTCACCTCGTTAACCTGCATAAAAGGCACCTGTCAACACCCAAACAACCAGCATCCAACATCACCACCATGGGCAAGACCAAAGAGCTTTCTACGGACATCAGGGACAAGATTGTTGATCTGTACAAGGCTGGGATGGGCTACAAGAGGACCGGAAAGCAACTTGGAGAGAAAAGATCAACTGTCGGTGCAGTTATCAGGAAGTGGAAGAAGCACCACACCACCGCCAACCTCCCTCAGTCCGGGCCTCCACACAGGATCTCGCCTCGTGGGGCGTCCCTGATCATGCGAACGGTGAGGAATCATCCCAAAACTGCCAGGGGGGGAACTGATGAATCAACTGAAGGTAGCTGGGACCAAAGTTACAAAAGAAACGGTTGGTAACACACTACGCCGTCATGGATTGAAATCCTGCAGCGCACGCAAGGTCTCCCTGCTCAAGAAGAAACATGTACAGGCCCGCATGAAGTTCGCCATTCACCACCTGGACGACTCAGAAGAGACCTGGAAGAAGGTGATGTGGACAGATGAGGCCAAAATAGAACTTCTTGGCCTTAACTCAACTCGTCGTGTTTGGAGGGCAAAGAACACCGAGTACAACCCAAAGAACACCATCCCCACTGTCAAGAATGATGGTGGCAACATCAAGCTTTGGGGGGCTTTTCAGCCAAGGAGACGGGACAACTCCATCGTATTGAGGGGAGGATGGACGGGGCCATGTATCGTGGAATTCTGGACCAACATCTCCTTCCCTCAGTGAGAGAGCTGAAGATGGGTCGAGGATGGGTGTTTAAGCACGACAACGACCCAAAGCACACCGCCAAAGCAACAAAAGAGTGGCTGAAGAAGAAGCAAATCAAGGTTCTGGAGTGGCCTAGCCAGTCTACAGACCTGAATCCAATTGAAAATCTTTGGAGGGAGCTTAAACTTCGAGTTGCCAGGCGACAACCTGGGAACCCGAATGATTTGGAGGCTGTCTGCAGGGAGGAGTGGGCCAACATGTCTGCCGAAATGTGCACAAACCTTTTCACCAACACAACAATAATGGTTTGGTTTTTCTGTTTGCTTTAATCACAGATTCACAGATCAATAAAGTCGATCAACAGCCGAGGAAAAAAAAAAAAGTTTCCTAAATGTTAATGAGAATCAGTGTGAAGTAGAAGCCTCTCCATTTTCCTTAGAAGTCACTTTTTTTTCTTTTTTTTTGCGGGAACAATTAGAAAGTTTAACAACATAATTTAAAGCAGAATTAGCATTAATGTTTGGCAAAATGAAAAGACAATCCAGACAGATGTTGAGGATTGCTAATTTATGTTATTGTAAGTATAAATGGGATTCTTTAAAATCTAATCCATTATAATCCAGGTATAGATTTATTCTAAACAGTCCCATTTGTACTTGGCATCAATGAGGAAAAGTTATTCTTATTCCCATGTTAAAGTGATAATGATATAGACCATCTGCTAAGATTAGCTCTCTAACAGCTAACACTGCATGTAGAAAATAAGCTTCATTTCTGCAGGCACCTGAGTGGGGAAGGATTTATGTCACTCTTGCTGCATTTATCTTTGTTAGTGGCCACAAAAAGCAAAAATAGTTGAGGTCAAATGAGTGGAAACGGTGCAGAAGTGGAGCATGGCCACAGAAACAGCTGATGTACCTGACATGTAGAACCAAGTCACTTTCTAAACACTGCTTTCCTTTTCACAGAAGCCCTCTGGGAATCATGGGAAATTCAACCGTTTACAGGCTGTTAAAGCAGAAACACTTTACGCACAGAAACAGCGACTTTGAAGAATAAAAAAAAAAGGTCTGACACTATTGTCTAATGCGGATCTAAATGATCGGTTTTATTGCAGCTTTTTGGTTATATATTAGAGGGACTAGTTTTCTTCCTTTCTTTAGAACACACACCGATCATTATGATTAATTCCTGCTGACAAATGAACCTGAAGCCCCCACACTCACAAATTGTTGACGTCGTTCTCTCCCGCCTCATCGAGCTGCCTGTTGGACATCTGCAGATTGCCCGGGAAACGGGGGTTCTGAAACAGAACCAGACCGAACCGAGCTTTAGGCTTAAACCAAAACTTTCTGGTAGAATCTGATCACTTTCACAATAAAAACGGTGTTAATGAATTAAATAGCTTTGATGATCTCTAGACTTTATGAGTTAAAAACTGCTCTAGTTTAACACAATACGGTAAAAAAAAAAAAAAAACCTGTAAAAAGTGGACTTTTCTGGTTGCAAAAGAGTAAGACTTTTAGCAGATAACAGGAAGGCTAAGCAGAAGGGTCATGACGATGATGGAAAATAGAAAACAGATCACGCTCATAACCATAATTTCTATGGATGATGCATAGTGATTAATATTTTAGGATGCTTCTCATCCCTTTGTTAATTATTTAGTTATAGAAATTAAAGTCTCAGGTTACGCTTTAGTCCACAGAAATTATTCTGCACAAAACCTATAGCCTCCCTGTATAAAATGGATATGACAACATCTACATAAAACTCAGGAATGAAGGGGTTTGGGAGATAATTAACCAGTCGACTCACTTTAATGTGAAATTCCATTTTAGTGATGAGCAGCTTGAGGTAGATGCTGCACAGTTTCCCGTATCCTTCGCTCAGATGACCCTGAGGGGGGAAGATATAGATAAAAAGTGAATGATTAAGGGCATACATGTGCGTTTTTATTGTTAGCTTGACATGAAACATGTCTTTGTTTATGTTCTCTAAAATATTTAAACAACATGGACATTTTTGCCAGAAGTGGACGGCCTGAGAAACAGCAAACTGGCCACTTCCCTCTTTTCTTTCTTTCTGTCTGGGAGAGTGTGAGAGTGAAACAACCGGAAACATGACGCCGCAGCCTTTGGTCAGAGCAACCAAACTTCCTGTATCCTGCTGCTGCCTGGTGACATCAGCAGAAACGGAGTCATTACTGAATACCAGGGTCACCGCCCGGCGTTATAAGTAACGAGGGACAGCAAGCAGCAAAATGGATCTCACCAAGACCAGGTGTTTATAATAAGCTAATTAATATGGTCAGCGCTCTGAAAGGACTGTTAGATGATTGCAAACATTATTAGGAAGTAAAGCCCGTCATCTACACAAATAATATTTAATGCTTCAGCTCTGATGGCCGAAAGTGCAGAAACTCCACGTCTGTAACTGTTAATGTGTAAAGCACAAAGTGGGGGTGCTCTGATATTCATAATTAGCGTCTTCTTGTCTTTCACACTGCTGATGGAGGCGGATCAACATTAACTATAGGAATGTAATCAGCTCTCTTCATTAGCAGCGCCTTGCAATCATAATCTTTGTGCAATGAGTTCAGCCCTCTGACTGGATGCCCTCTTTCTAAAAGGGCTCCATGTCTTTCATCTACAAACTCTGGACATTCAAACACTCGCAGATTTCTAACTGAAGCTCAGGCAGATGGAGTAAGCAGCACACATTGTCCAGCCTTGCAGCAGATTTTTTGCAACAGATTCAAATCTGGACTTTGACTAGGCCGTCCGTCTCTACATACAGTTATGCTGTGATTTAGTAGAGCAGGGGTATTCATAGGGGGGTGCCCTGCATGTTTAAGAATTGTCCCCGCTCAGCACAACTGATTTCCAATAATGGCTCATTAAAAGGCTTTGGCTGAACGTCAATCACCTGAACCAGGTTTGATAAAAGCAGAGAAAGATCGAAAAGCTGCGGGGGGAGTCTGGAGTTTAATACCTCGTTGTACAGAATAAATGCACGTCCATGTACACGCTTTTATGAAACCTAATCTATAGAGTCGCTGGCCGGTTTCAGTTCCCACTACAAGCAGCTGGATTCTAAATATATTATTCTAGCTTCTAAAGCGTTTTGGGTTATTTTTTTTTTCTTTTACAAACGTCTAATGTTAAAAATAGAAAAAAAGGCAAATGATGCAACATTGATCAGTTATAGCTGTTGTGCTGCAGCCTGATGTGTTTAGAAATGTTTAGATCTGATTATCGTAATGTTAAAACGTTTTTTTTTTCAGGATAACTATGGTTAATTTATAGTTGTTTTTTTGTTTATGTTATTGTAGCAATAAAACAAAATGGAAACAGATTAAAAGATTCAAATAACTAGCTCGAATTATTTGAATGGATTCCAATTACTACAAAATCGGGTTGATCTCCTTGAAGGTTTATTGATTTAATCACTAAGCGTTTTGTTTTAGAGATCAAACAGATCAGCAGACATGATTAAAAAAACCATCATGGCTTAAGGCCAGAGTTCTTCATGACAAAGACAATCATCGGAGTTCTTGCTTACCCACATCCTGCTCATATCAGCCAGATCTGCCTTGTTCCTCATGGAGTCCTTGATCACCTGCAGGTGGAAACACAAACCTGAGTAAAACAAGAGCCGTCGCTGCTTTCCCTGACGTCTGGGTGCGCTCTGTGCTTACGTTGGGGTGTCCATCCCGCAGCAGCTTGTGGAAGACGTGGCAGAACTTCCAGCACAGCACGGCGTTGCTGGAGAGGGGAAGCCGGTTGACGGCAGCCCAGAACGTGTGGGCGCCTTTTTCATGATGGGTCCCCAGGATGCAAGGTGGGAGCATGAGTCAAGGACCAACGGATCACTCTGCATACCGTGTTGTTCTATGTCTGACTCATACCTGAGAATATATTTGACCCTGATTTTTTTCTAACACAGTCATTATCCAACAGTTTTTGTTCACAGGTCAAGAATGGTGTTTTATGCCATACCAGACCAGGTGGACCTTCTTTTTAAATTATGGTACTGCTGTCAAAATATACTATCCGCTTCCTTTATTTTATTTCTTATATAAAGTGTTTATCACCCTGTTTTTAATAATTATTTGATTTTTTGTTGTTGTTCAGTAAATGCCCTCCTTTACTTAGACACTTTCTAAACATAGCCGGTCCTGGCTGATGGCTGCTCATACTAATCCTTTGCTCATGGCAGGTTTCAGCAGGTTTTCTTTAATGGAAAAGCAGCTTTGAGTTTTCAAAGACACAAAATTACCAGTAATATTTGCATTTAGGATGTTCTGATCCTCCATCTTTAACTAATGCAATCATCGTTACAGTTTTTTTAAGAGGTTGTCATAAACTCCTCTCCACAAGCAAAAGGCAAACTGACATTACTATGAAAATATTATGACCTTATGAAAATAGTCAATCAGCTAACGGGACAAATTTCATCCTAAAAAACAAATATGGAAGTGTTCAAACTGGATTTGTTAAACCAAAAACAGATGCATGTAGAGGAGAAACGTTTTGACCTAAATAAAATTTACAAGAAATGCATAGAAATAGACTGGATAGATCTTTGCCTATGGACATGGTCAAAATTATTTTATTTTTATTTTTTTAGTTTTTACAGCATAGTGGCTTGTTTTTTGGACAATAGGCTTGTTTTTTGGAGTATGAGAGAGGGGGAGAGACACGCGGCAAAGGACCACAGGCCGGATTCGAACCCGGGTTAGCCTCGTTGAAGACTAAGGCCTCCGTACATTGAGTGTGTGCGCTAACTACTGCAGCATCTGTACGCCCCGACATGGTCAAATTTAACAGAAGCCAGAATAGTACACTACAATTCTAGATCCGTTGGGACCGACACAGCTATTAACATCAGATCGTTAAATTTCATACATCTTTTGTTGAATTTAGGTTTGAAACCATGTGCTTTTTCGACTTATCATTTTTCTTATTTTTAAACTTAAAATAGAAATAAAAATGTTTTTTTTTTTCAAAATAGAATAAAAGTTCAGTAGAACTGTGGGTCATGTAAAACTTTATTTATCTACCTGACTTTTAATCAGCAGATTTAACAGCTGTAGAGCCCTGCCTTGGAAAGATAACCTTTCACTAGTTTTTATTTTATTGATACTTATTTATTTGTTATTTTACTGGATTATGAGTAAATTAGACATGATATAAACTGTTTTTTCTTCAAACATTTGTCTGGATGGACAGAAAGAACTGATCGGAATTAATTTGGGGTTCTGTATAGCTGGATATGAACTGGATCTGGTCATCTTCTAAGCTGCCTTGGGATGAGATTTGCCACGAACTGAATCTATATAAATAAACCTAATTAAATCACAAAGAGCCTAAAGTCCTTCATTTTAATTGGAGACCACATTAAAATGTCAACACGCTCCATTTATCACAACTTTTCTCCGAGATTGATAAAGATAAATGCCAAATGCAGCGCGAGTTGTTTTTGATGACTGAATCAGATGTGCAGCAGAACCACATGAGCTAGACAGGGTTACACAGAGGTTGTTGTTTTGCACTAATGTAACCCTCTGCACATAGAAACAAACACAGCTCCTCTTTACCAACCTCCACATATACACAGAGTAATGATGTAAGGATATTCCTGGCATGTTTCTCTTTGACAGCGACCTCCTGTGTGTTGATAGCCTTGTTGATGCTGACAGCCTGCAAGGAAGGGAGATAAAAAAAAAAAAAATCAGCTGACAGATTTCTAATGCAGTATTTCACTAAAAAGTTGACATCCTCCATCAACGTTTCTAGCAATGCTTTGGGAATAAAAGGCATCAGATTTTTTAGAAAAGGCTGATTGACCCATTTTCTGCAGTTAGTATTCAAGGCAGCAGCTCTGAAGCCTGAGCTTTTCACTTTTTTGGAGCAGCTTCACGGACTGAAGGAAACTGCACCTTTACACCTCTTCTAATCTACCCAACCATGCAGAAAGAGCCTCTAGATTAAATAACACAGACGTGACAGAGGATCTGCAAAAGGCCAGAACACTGAACGTAATTCTGAACAACAAAAAGGAAAAATAAACAACAAAAAAGAGACGCTGGCAGCCATATTGCATTGGCACTACTCTTTAGGAAACCCAGCTAACTTGTAAGCGGCTTGACTTAATGAGATGATTCAAACAATGAACCGCGTGTGAATGAGCATCTCCAACAGAGAAAACTAGATCTCAATATGAAGCCTCTCCAAGTTCAAATTGAAACCTCATTCATCTAACCTGGCTGAGGAAACGAGTGCAGACTTCAGGTTTCCACTTAATTCTGACACCAAACTGCAGTCTGTGTCAGCCTCCGTGTTTCATGATGGGACAAAAAAAAATCCACAAGTGAATGCTAAAGGCAGGGATGCTGTGATAAACAGGAAGTAGAGGTTGCAAACTGGCATGGACCACACATCGGAGAATAAAGGAGAGAGGTTTTCAGGAATGTATGGTCAAATCGGGTAAGTTGCAGTGGTTCTGTAATGTCGACTAGGATGAGCATTTTAGACGCAGACCAGAGGCTTAGAGAAGGAAAAGCAGTTTTAACAGTGGGAGGTAAATTTTCACTATTACAGAACGTTTTAAATCCTTTTCCAACATAACTCTTTTTCACAAAAACATCACTCAAGTGTAAAAACTGTTTTTTAAATTGAGAATTCTATTTTGAATTTTTGCAGTTTCCATAAATTTTAAACACCATTGTCAAAAGCATTGATTCTCAAACACTGTATCTGGATACAAAACAAATTTAGCATGGCATGGGTATAAAAATAAAAGAGTTTGCATCATTTTGTTATTGCTCATTTTGGATTTCTAGATTATTTGGACTATAAAACAAATAATACCTCAAACAACCTGAAAATATTCTGAAATTGTCTGATTGGGTTAATTATTTGACAATTATTTAACCAGAAAAGACTTTGATTCTGTTAAGAATGCATGCTTATTGTTAAGATTGAAAAGGTTGATATTTTCTTGTTGATAAATATTTTAATGCCTTTATTTGACTTATTTTATTCCCACAGTTTTGAAAGTTATAGAATATTTTCCTGGATATTGATATATAGAGTTTGATAGTTTTGTTTTGAGGCAACACTAAATCCATCCATTCGTTTTCCGTCACGCTTATCCCTGCTGGGGTTGCGAGGGGTGCTGGTGCCCATGTCCAGCTGTCCATGGGCGAGAGGCGGGGTACACCCTGGACAGGTCGCAAGTTCAAAAGTACTGTTAAAAGTACACACATTTGTTACTTACGGTAAGTAGAAGTATAGATACTGCAGTTTAAAAACACTCTGGTAAAAGTTGAAGTATCAACTTGACCTCTTTACTCAAGTAAAAGTGAAAAATTATGTACTCCAAAAACTACTTAAAGTATAAAAGTATAAAGTAACCTTAAAAAAAAAAAACTGCCAGATGAAACTATATGAATTGAAAGCTAAATTTTTTCGATGATTTCGAAAAATTAATTGAGATAAGGCCAAGGATGAGGGAGGTCTTGTTGGTCTCTGTCTCCATCTCTCAATACACTCTCGCCTGTGTCCGACCTTTCAGACATTTCAACATCTTTTTTTTGAATCAAACATTGTAGCATGGCATTGACAATTCACTTTTACAGTTTGAAGAACAACTGCTTGCTTCTGATGATTTCTTTTAGCTAACCAATGAGTGTTTGCGTTATATGACGCATGCTCAGGGAGAACATGCAAACTCCATGCAGAAAGACGCCAGCCCGAGAATGGAACCCGGAACCTTCTTGCTGCAAGGCAGAAGCACTACCAACTCTGCAGCACGCAACCATAAATATGCACAAAAAAAAAAAAAATGATACCAAATGTTTGATCTGACCAATCCAGAGGATTGTAACTCATGTGCGGATCCATACATGCGAAATAGAAGAAAGCAGCAGTAAAGTTCTGCGACAATAGACAACAATATGTGAGTCTCCTGGCAAAAACAAACCAGTCCCGGGATGTTCATTAAGTAGTTTAATTTTCCCAAAAGAGAAAAAGTAAAAAAATAAATAAAAAAACTCACAACCCTAAACAGGACAAGGATCTTAAACACATATCAAAGCGAGTTTTAGAGCAGATAAAGCAAGCAGTGATTAAACATCTGGATGATATGCGGCTCAGTCTGTGCCTGGAAACCCAGCAGCCTAATTAGAAGGATTATACCATGAAAATAATAATAAGAATAATAATAACTGAACTTTACTGATCTAACATGTGAGCAATGTACCTGTTTTTAACCCATCCCCTTGTTTACCTTGTGCCCATCCTGTAAATGTGGACCAAAAAGGTCACATTGGTCTATTTTGTTGGGAATTCTGAGCCGTTTGCTTAGATAAAAAAGCAAAATCAATGTCTTTAATGATTAATCAAGATTTAACTTAATTTTCTTACTCCAGTTTCCCTTAAATTGCCCATAAAGATATTTAAGATGAAATGAAGATTTTAAAAAAGACTGTGAAAAGCTCTATGTCTGTGTTGATCTGAAGTTTGGACTTTTGCTCAGGGCTTTTAGAACAAGGTGCATTCAGCAACATCTGGTTGACGTTTCACTTCACAGCTTGGAGGGCAAGAAAAACAAACTGCCAGTACTTCAGTCTTGGATGAATCAAACCACCAAACAGAATGAAATGCTGGTGTCCGGTAAGAAAAGCCAAACATATATCCTGTCACTGAAAGGGTGCTGTGAACTGTGAGTGGGTCGGTCGGGGACAGCAGAATCCAAGATCCTGTTTCATAACCTTGCGTCCCACAGAGCGCGCTCCTCCTCTTCCAGTATGTGGGCCGTCAGGACTGGAAGTTCACCATGACTGGAGGAAGAGGAGGGGAGGGACGAGAAATACCCACAGAGAAACGGAAGAGAAAAAAAGTATGGAAACACTGGCTGCTCAGTTTCTCTTAAAATTAGTCCAAAAAACTCTGTATAAATAAAATCCAGAATTTACATCACATGAAATAACCACCACAGCATCATCCTCAAACCGACAATAGACAGCATCCTCCACACACTCCATGACCGATCGACACATGCTCAAGAAAATCCAATTTAAGGGAAATTCAGATCCGGTCACAGCCGTGAATCATAGGTGTAGATGCAGCATGAAGACACCATGTTTCCAGGAACATGCAGCTATTGCTCTCACCTTCCCTACTTTACCTTCACACCTTTTGGGCTTTAATTCTGGTAAAAGGCCACGTGGATTGGAAGACACTGTTGGTGTTAGTTGGTGCTGCGCAGTTTAAAAACCAGCTGTGATACTGCGGTGCTGTTTAGGGCGTACAGAAGAAACAAGACTGTTAAGAAACCTCCAGTTTCCTCTTTTCAAAACCACAAAAATAAAAGGTCACGCAGAGGTAACAAATAACTGATCTGCTTCTTGAGATGAGTCACGTTTTTGTTTTACTACAGAAGTATTTTAATAAAGACCCCTAAAGATTAGAGGCCTCTCTTGGGCAGATCTTACCCACAATCCATCAATAATGGATCAATAATGGATTCGCTTTTTTAACTCAATCATCTTTCGTGTTTCCTGAAACAGAGGTAAGCGCTTTTGCCATGCAGACTCTAATACCCCATTTACACTACCCTTGAAAAACTGTGCCGAGACCGGTCTGAGCTCAGTAACTGAGGTAACTTATGGTGTGTAAATGGAAAGCAAACTGAACTGAACCGAGCTAGACACAACCAGACCGCACTAACTGGAGACCAGTTCCAGAGGTGGGCTCGGCTCCGTTTTTTCCCTGGCTCAGTTCTCTGATAACAAGAGTGCATGAGCAGAATGCGTCATCTCCATCTGGCTGCACATCCCGATTCACACTCCATTCCAGTAGTTGGCGGTAATGCCCCTCCAGAAGTTGCTAGTCAACCAACACAAACGGGCGCCGCAATTTTTGATTTGCTTGATTTCCTTCTTCTTTGTCTTCTTCTTATGTTTTATGGCGGTTGACAAACAACTTTTGGTCCATTACCGCCACCAACTGCTTGATTTCCTCCTTCAAAACTGTCAGTAATACCGCAGATCGTCACTAGGAGGCGAGGAGTCGAGGAACCAAGATAGTGTGATGTGTAAACGGTCGTCAGAACCAAGCTCGGCCTGGTTAAGTGATCCGAGCTCGGACCAGTCTCGGCATGGATCGGGTTTTCAAGGGTATTGTAAATGGGATATAAGGGTGCACCCTTCCTCTTACCAATGTTCACCAGAGATGGTTCCTGAGATCCTGCCCATCTGCAGGCATAAGCAGGCATAGACAATGGCCTGCTAAGATGAACTTAACAGAGAAAAAGTGTGGAGCAACACTTATTATTCAACTTCTTTTAATGCAAACCTCAATGTTTTAACACAAGAAGTTTGTTACGAGTTCAGCCGTTTTAAGTGATAATGTCTAAAGTGTTTAAGAAAAAGTGAATTCTAAATGAAAAAGTCTACTATTGTGTGGGGGCAGAGTATTTACAAGGGAAATATGTCTAAACATTTAAAACATCACACTTGAAAGGTGGTCATTTTGAGATTTTAAAGACTTTAGTTCAATTACTATTTACACCCGTTGACTTTTCGTTGCTGACATGTTAAAAATGTTGGTCAGGACGGATGATAATTGGGATGACTTTCTTGTAAGCAAGAAAATTTAGGGAACCACTGCGTTAACCAATCAGGGACGGGGTCTGG